CTACTGTTTAAAGCAACGATGGAGAACATGTCCTCACCACCCAGAAATTGTGTGACTACAATTCCCACCGGAACCTCAACATTTTCTGTGCTGACTAGGAGGACTGATGAGAGTTGAAGTCCAACAACATCTGGAGATCCACATGTTTCCCAACACCTCACCAAAAGTCATAATGGCTGCTTCTCACAGGGAGAAGCCAGAAGGTTTGGAAGAGAGGAAAAGTGGCAAGAAAGGAATAGATGGTTTCCTTTTCTAAGCCTAAAACTCTGCTGCCCTCAAGCCACTTCCTCAAGGCATTCTTCCTCCCTATTGGCATGGATCCAATTCAGAGGCAGATCAGATATTCTGTTTTTCAATGCACGTTTCTAGTCCTCATTGGCAGAGTAAAAACTTATTTCCGATGGATAGCAATATGTGTACATACGTGTTTTTAGTGGATTCACAATAGCTACAGGCTTCATGACCTGTAGTCTTCTTATCATGCTTACTTTCTCAGTCCTTGGGTTAAAGAAACAATCATTCAGCAGGCTATGTTTAATCTGCCCAAGCAAAAGCTCTCTGAATATGTTCAGAAGTGCTCTTTATCAGGTCACGTGCAAAACTATGTTCACATCCCACTTCATGTTAGGGCTGAGGATGTCACTGGTTTCTCTTGCTATGTTAGCAAAAAAAATCAGTAATCAAGAGCCAAGGTGGCAGCAACATATGTGCTACTACCTCCCCCGCTCCTCAAATAACCTCATCAAAAAATCAACAATTAAACCAATAATTATTGGTCAAGGAAAGGGGAGAAAGGGAGCTACATTCTGCTCTGCCCAAGTCCCCCTTCCAGGGTTGATTGGCGGTATTGCCGATTTCTAACTGAGTTACGTGCATGCTGCTCCAGCAGCTAGACTGCAAGGATTTCACTTTTTTTGCTTATGCTGTTCCTTGTCCAGCTAAGCTGCATATTCAGGAGCTTGCATCCTTATGCTATATCCCCAGTAGGATTAGAGCATCTGAAGTTAAAGTCAACAGAATGAAGTAAGAGGTAATCAAGACAGTGACCTGGTTTGCACAACATAAGCCCTCGCTGTCATTGGTGATTGGACCTCCTCCACTGATGTCCAAGGAGCACTTTGGAGTGACCGTCACTTGTTCAAAACTCCCTGAAAATTACATAACTGTATTTGTATTTTTAATGGTCTGTCTTGCATAATTGTGCAAGCCCTGTAAAGAGCTGGTAAAGAGGGAAAATGGAAGAAGAAGGCGCACCAAGAAGTGTTTGTCAGGGGGGAAATGTAGCAATGCCATCCTCTCAATTGTGTGTGTTGAACCAATGCCCTCCAGCTTTTCAATACTTCCTCAAGTCAGTAAATACTTCAGAAAGGGGGAGTAGCTGGTGACCCGAGGAAGTTTCCCCTGCTTTTTTTTTTTTTTTTGGCAGTAACCCATACAGTGTAGCTGATTCACTGGGTGGCTTCATTTGGCACACAGATGCAGCCAGCATTTATCCCTGCTGAACTGCTTCCCACCACACAACACTATCTGACATCAGTCCTTGCGTTTTGATAGTTTAAATGTCTAAGGATGTTCTATAATATTCCATAACACTTCAATCAACCTATCTCAACCAGGCATCTAGGGAAGCCAATGCGCTGAAGCTCGACAGTTGTGGAGCTTTCAAAGACTAGAACCTGCATGGTAAATAGGATCACTCCACTTTTGTTAATTTTTCTGATCTGGAGATGAAATGGGCAAAAATGCAACTTTTTCCAGCAGATCCAAAAGTTTTATGCTGGAATTTGGCCGTTAATTTGTGATTTCTACAAACAGATACATGAAATAGGTGTATGAAATCACAGATAGAAATATGAAATCAAGTTTATTGACAAAATGATTGGTCATCACAGGTTTTTAAAACCCTTTCTTAAAATGCCTGTCCCTCTCTTCCCCTAGCAATCATAATAATGGAGCACTTTTCCTGAGTGTTGAGAACGCATTGGGCCGGTTTGCATGACACAGCAAGCCATGGTGGTTTCTTGCACAAGATGGTCTGCTGTGTCATCCAAATCCTGTCATGCTATTTCAACATGGTACATTTGGTTTTTAGAAACCACAATAAGAAACAACTGTTTGTCCTATGGTTTCCACAATTCAGCATGATTTCTCCATTTCTCCAGACCGGGGATCGTGGTTTCCATGGTCCCAGAATGCAGCCACTGTGGTGTCCCTTGGAAAGAGCAGCAGCCACTTGCAGAAGCTGAGCCAGCCATCCAGTATGGGACTGAATTTCAGGCACAGTGGCTGATGGGACACATGACCATTCTGACAGCAGGAGGACTGAGAGAGGAAGGTGGAAACCATGCTAGCATGGAAACCACTGGATTGTCTGTCAGGCTCATACAGCAAAAGAACTACACACTATGAAAATGATGCAGGGTTGCTTGTCCTTGTGTGAACCCAGCCATTATCCTTGTAAGCCTTGTATTATAAATTACAACAACGCTTTAACTTATATATGTAAATATTACTTCCATACTGCAAATAGGCTGAGAGAGTCTTGCTTAAGGTTTCCTAATGAGTTCATGGCCGAGGCGAAGTTTGAATCAGGGACTACTCAGCAACAGAAGGGTGGGGGAGAAGTAAAATTAACTAAGTTCCCATAGCACACTGCCTCTTCATTTCACTGACAATATAGCCGTATTTTGGTTCTTCATGAAGAAGTGTTCTTTGTAACAGGAAAACCCTGTATATTGTTTGATTCTTATGACTTAGATGATATATGGCTTGGAAAAAGCCCTATATTACCAAGAAAGAAAATATTTTTGCATGGAAGTGCCAATGTCTGAAAACACTGCATAGATCTGGATATACAAGGAGGTATCAGAAAGTAGCAGCTGTTCATTATGAGCTGTAAAGCATTGGCAACCATTTTGCTGTTGTTTCCCCAAACATTCTCAGGATACCCCCAGAACAGACCATCAATTTTCAACAGATGTTAACGCGTCTTTGTTTACCTTGCTAGAAAAAGAAAAAACAAGAAAATGGCTTAAGGCAATTTCATTTTAAGGTGTCTATAAGCCCTCCCTGTTTTGGCGAGCATATTTGTCAGGTTAAGTATGGGTACACGAGTATTTATTCAGACGAACAACAGCAACATAAAAATCTGGAGCTCAAAATGTTAGGCGCATGAAAAAGGAAATGCATGTTTGGCACTTGGACAAATGCAGGATGAAGTGAAATCCAAGGAAATGGGTCTGCATTTTCCTTTGCAGAATTCCAGAGAATTGGCTTCAGAGGAGAAAGGGAATTAAAGTTGACAAGACTCAGAATCTTCTAACGTTGGTGAGGATACTGGGAGGGAAATAGTGAAGTCTCTCCCCTTCATAATACTAAAGCTCAAAGTTATCTGATAAAATGAATGGTCAAGAGATTGGGACTAGAGAAAAGGGATTAGCCCTGCATCTGCACACTTAGCTCCCTGCTGCAAGATGTGGTGAATGCCACTGGTTTAGAAGGATTTAAAGGGGGGACTAGAAACATTAGTGGAGGATGCCTGTTAGCAGCTATAGATCATGATGGAGAAATGGAACCTCCATATACAGGGGCAGCATGTCTTGGAGTACCATTCACTGAGGATCAGCAATAGGAGGGGACTGTTGCCTCCTTCATACCCTGAAGGTGCATCTCTTGGGGGCGTCTGGTTCACCATTGCAGCCAGGTAAAGTTTGCTGAATTAGATGCAGGGCTGTTCTTATGATAAGTTTTAGATTCCTTGAAATTCTGTATCCTGCACCCCTGCTGCCCCTGCCAAATGGAATTTCTTCTGGAAATGACAATCAATTAGTTTCCTCTGGTCAGAAGGCAGCTTTGCCATCGGTAATAATACCCTGCCAGATCTGCCCGAGCAAATTATGGCTGTTTGACATGCTGAACAAATGAGCAACTGATTTGGAAGTCTTAGGTGTGTGCACATTTTCCTGAATGGGATTGTGCACAGCTGCTTCAGCACATGGCTGGGGGGTAATGAAGACTACCTGAATGATGGCTTTTGGGTCTTTCAAATTAGATCCAGAATTAGGGTGCAATCCTATGCATGCTTGTTGTACTGTTAACAACAACTCTCGTTGTTAGGAGTGCTGACCTGGGACTTGAGACAGATCTGGGTTCTATTTATTAGTCAGCCATGAAGTCAGCTGGATGACTTGGAGTCTGGTGCTACCTCTCAGCATAACCTACTTGACAAGGCATTGTTGTGAGTATAAAATGGAGGAAAACCTTGAAAACCATGTTAGGTTCCTGGCAAGAGGAAGAAATGCAGGATATACTCCTCCTCCTCCTCCTCCTCCTCCTCCTCCTAACAACAACAACAACAACAACAACAACAACAACAATACTTCCAGCATTCCTCAGCCAGTAGGGTTGGCTGGATATTCTGGAAGTTGTAGGGCTTTTCTCTGTTGATACATGCATAGGGTTCTGCCTTTAGTCTCTTTAGAGGCGACCCATTCAATTCGATAATAATTAAGTTAGGAGTGACTAACAAGTATCATTTCTTTCATTGGGTCTATGCTTAGTATGATTAAATCTGGATCCAAGCAAAGATGTTAATTATTCGAGACAGTCCATAGGTAGGCTCTTGAATAAGCTAAATTTCTGGAAGTCAAGGGGAGAAAAGGTTTTAAGAGAAAAGGAAACGCCTGGCAACTCTGTATAGAAAATTCTCACTGTCCTGCTCCTTCTTCCTTCCCTCCGTACCCCTCCCATCCGTAAAGAGCAAGTGAGAAAAGTCAATGTGAAGACAAACTTCGTAGTAGCTCTTCAGCACCCCCCCCCCCGCCGCTTCCCCCAAGCCACACACCAAATTCTTGGCTCTCCCTGCAGAAGAAAGTGGCATGAATGAGCCCCCCCCCCGCCGGCCCCGCTACTCCTGGCCCCTCCCCATCCCCCTCATTGGCCGGCAGGATTCTGAGAAGGAATTTAAAAAGGAGAAAGCCTTTTCGCCCGGCTTCGGATCCGAGGGAAGAGCGGAGGAGTGCGAGGCCAGCAAGCCGACCTTCCCTCCCCAGCCAGCGGCCGACATGCAGACCTCTTGGGCTCTTGGCTCTTTCTGCCTCTTCTTCCTGCTGTTCGCCCTGCCTTCCGGGCGCGGCTGGCAAGTGCTTAAAAACGACGCCACGGAGGTGGTCCCGGACTTCCCGGAGAATACCGAGGCGCCCGAGGAGCAAGACTACATCCAGAACGACACTGACACCGGCACCATGAACAACCGGGCGCAGCAGCAAGGGCAGAGGCACCCCCACATTGCTCTGAACAGGATGGGTAAGGGAGGCCAAGAGGCGGCGGCGGCGGCAGCGACGGGCTTTTCTTTCTTTCTCCTTGCCCGCAGGTGTGTGGCGGGCTTCCCTCCTCTGGGCAGCACCTGGCTGGCTCTTGAGCAGAACCGCCTGGAAGGTGTTGGCTGCCCTCTTCCAATGCATCTAGAAAGTAAACAGCTCCCCCCCCCTCCCCGTCATCCCCATTTACAACTCCCAGTATCCCCGGCAAGTAGGTCCATTAGGCTAGCTGAGTCACTGGGGTCACTAGTCCTGCACAAATGGTGGATCTTTGAAAGCAAACCGACCTCCACCAATTGATGTTTTCCTCCTAGAGGAGCTGGACTACAACTTCCATCATCCCATCCACCAGGACCATTGTGCTGGCTGGGGACAATGGAAGCTGTACTCCAAGACAAGGGGGGATTTTGGAGAATAGATCAGCATCTCCCAAACCTGGCACGCTCTAGAGAGGTTGCAGTACATCTCTCCCCCTTCCTCCTGACTGGAGATGATGGGACCTGTACTCCATCACTTTTTGGGGTGCTAAGGCTGGTGAGGCTGATTTATTTTGATTGGCTGTGGCCCTCCAGGGTTCCTCGGGAGGTACACATCTTTTCCATTGCTAGAGACTGCATAATTAGTAATGTCAGGGATTGAACCCGTGGCCTTCCATGTGCAGATCAGGTGTTCTGTCACTCCGCCTTTTTGCATCTACTTCCCTTTAGGTGCTAAAAGCTGAAGTGGTTAGGTTTCTGAACTGACTCTTTCGCAATGGCTGAGATGCCCCATCCATTCCTCTGGGTGGAACACAAAGCAGCAGAAGACTTTAGCTTCCAAAGGAGCCTCCTCCCATCCAAGCAAGGGTCAGAGTCCAGCCCACTTAACTTAATCAAGGATGTGGCTTCATTTGCCTTCCGATCATGCCCTGGGATCCTTTGGTCTCCCTGAAGCCACTTTCACACGTGAAACTTCAAGTAGGTTTGCAACAGAGAGCAAAAAACCTACATCAGTCAGAATGACCATTGGCATTACAAATGCCATTCCTCTGCTTTCTGTTGTGTGTGGTCTGTGATTAGACAAAAACAAAGATGTGTGTGAACATGCATGTAGAGCACACATGCTGGAATCTAGAACCAAAAGCCTGCCCCCCCCCACCCTAGTATTCCTGGGGTCCCAATCTAGTCTTACAGGATTACCAAGATAGCAACACCCCCTTCTCCTTCCCCAACCCATCAGTCACTTGGTAGCTTCCCAGACTTTGTATAGTCCCCTGACCCCTGCCTTGTAAAAGCCTCAAATGCTTCTCCTAAGGCTTAGAAACTGGCAATAAGACCTTTAAATCTGAATAAACATGGTCATTGTGATATTTGGCCCCATCCCCTTTCCTTCATCCCCACCTACAGCTGGAACATAGCTTCAGAGGATTCCTCCAAAACAAATTTGTCTTTTTGACTGGTGGTTAAGTAAGCCAGCATGTCTCCAGACATGGCAGGCTGGGGTACTTATTCCTGCTTAATTCCCACTCCTTGCTCAAGTGGACTGTTCGAGGGCATCATGGCAGCAGTTTGCTCCCTTTTTGTCCTATAATGAAAAGTGTAAGGGACAGCTGATGAACCCCGAGAACTTCCTTCCCCGATCTGGCGCACTCTGGATGTGCTGGACTACAAATCTCATTAGCCTTAGCCAGGATGGTCTGTGGTTTACATAGACGGGAGTTGCAGTCCAAACATCAAGAAAGCACCTGGTTGGAGAAGGGTGCCCCAGAAGCAATGACCCTTATTTTCTCAGGTGGCTGGTGCAGGGATGCCTAGCCTGAAGCACCCACTACCTCGCGTGCAGTGTTTGTAAGCATCACAGTGGCTCCCTGATCCTCCAGGTAAGACCTACCTGTCAGGATGTGCTACAAACAGTGGATGTGAAGGTGAGCACTGATGTGGAGGATGGTGTGGTTTGTGACATATTGGAAAGAAAGAGATTTAATTAACGATGGATACGGGGTGTTTAGTATCATGCCCTGGGACCTTTGTATAGGTCTGATATACTAGAATAAATGTGGCAACTCTATATAAATCTCCTAGCTTGGATATATTGGCAAAATTCTACTGTTGCTCTTTCCAACCTGGAGTCCTCTGGATGTGCTGGACTACAACTCCCACAATCCCCAGTTAGCATGTTGCTGTTCTGGCCAGTAGTTGCTCTTTGGGGTCTCAGATGGCTTCCTTTTTCTATCCCCTGCTATCTGATCCTTTGGCTGGAGGTGCTGGGGAACTGACCTAAGATCTCCTGCAGGCAACACATGCCCTTTACTCTTGAGTTGTGCCTAATGCCCAACCCTATGGACTGTCCGCAGGTCCAACTTATTATGCAGGAAGAAGGGGACCTGCATGCACAAACTTCCCTGCATTATGCAACTATTTATATGGCCTGGTTGTCCTGACCACTCTGACCATGAACCCTTTTGGGGAAGGCTTGCCATACAGGTAGAGCATGGTATGTGACTGACACTGACAAGTACAACATGTCCCGTCAGTGGCCATCTGGCATTTCCAGGACAGTTTGCAAGAGTAGAAAACCACAAAATAAACTTTACAAATACATATTTTGTGTTAGTATTTCTATTTTAGTTTGAATGCCACTCTGCTATGTTACTGTATGTTTTCGGCTCCTGAGATCCTTAGTTTTATGTGAAATTATAATGTTTTTATTGTGCACCATCCCTGAGCACTTGGTAGGTAGAGGTCTATAAATGTAATGAATAAAAACCTAAACAAGGAAAGGACAAAAGCTACACAGACTATTGATCTATCCTGTCCCCTACCACCAGACTCCTTCCTTAGTCTCGGTTTAGCTGCCTGAGGAGTGGGGTTCATCATATGGAACTACATTAGATAAATATGCTTTAAATAAAAATTAGGAATGATGATGTTCTTGATGGAATAATTTGTCTGAGCTATGATGCAATCTCTCATGCCTTTTATTAACTTAAAAAGTAATGCAGTCATTCTGTGTAAGATGTTAGATATGTCATAGTTTTATATTCAGTTTAAATAAATTTTCTTTCAAAATGTTATAAGGGAAAAATAAAAACAGAAGAAAATTGCATGTATGTGAGGGCAAGGAAAAAGCACCCTCCAAAATATTACAAGTTTGCTATAAGTCACAGTGTGGGGATAATAGCACTTGCAAGCAATGTGAAGTTTGAACACTCCTCAACCTAGTGCCCACCAGATGTCCTGGACTTCAACTTCTATCAACCTCAGCCAGTATGGCCAGTGGCCAGTAGCGCAGTACTAAATACCTGGAGAATAAACCTAGAACTCTTGCCTGTGGTCCACAACATGTAGAGGATACCAGAGGGCTGGCCTAAGGTCAAGTCGGAGAAACTAGGAGACTTCCTTGGAATGCAGAAAGAAGTTTTTTTCAGGATTGCGGAAAGGAGAGGAAGAATTCCTCACTCTTTGAGGTCCTTCCTCTGCTCAGGCTTCCCAGTGGCTGTTCTTTGCATGGCAACCACAACCATCACAACAAGCAATTCCATTAACATAATGGTCTGGATCAAACAGTGGCAGGAGCAGAAGTCCGCTGCTGCAGTGCGATTTCCACTTGTCCTCTTCAAGCCAACACAAAACCCCCAACTCTGCTCTGGAAATGTGTGGGGTGGGCTGCAGGGGAGAGAGGAAATGCCATTCCACTGGCAGATGAGCAGCATGGGTGGATGCTGTTTCTAGCCTGGACCAATGAAAACACGAAGTAGCCAAGGATTCATGTGGATCAAAGCAGGATGTGCACTGGAGCAGGGCTGGGGGAGGCTTTCAGGGGTCGCTGACTTCTTCCAGTGCTGCACAAGTTGATGGAGCTGGTGTTGGATGTGGCCATGACACATGCATTTGTTCTAGGTTCCTCTGCATGAGGCATTTATCTTGGTGCTTTACTGAGGCTGCTGCTTCTGCTTTCCTTGTGGGAAAATTACTTTGTTCACACAAGCTTTTTATTTGCCTCCAGGAATTTCTTCTCTGCCTTTTTATATGTTCCTTTACACAACACAAGATGGATTTGAGCTATTGAGTGGAATTGTGAAATTACACTAGGGCTCTCTAGAGAATAATGGTAGCATCCAGGAAAACAGCAGGCAAAGTTGGAAAATGGACCTGCAAACTTCTGTGACAATAAATGTCTTGGATAGAGAAGTGTTCTCTCTCTCTCTCTTTCTCTCTCACATACACACTCACACTCTTATTCTTATTCTCAGGATAAGGATTGCTGGGGATGGGTGGGATAAGTTAAAACTTCATCACCCCTTGTGTACCTGGCACTTCACAAAAAGCAGGTCTGCTGGGTCTTGGCCATGGAGTTTATAATCTAAAGCATGTAGAAGGAGGCTGCAGAGTGTGAGGAAGTAGATGCATGGATATCCTGGAGAAGAATGAAAAGCTGTAGAGACCAGAAGCATGATCCAAAGGTGGTTCTGCTGCTGTTTCACAGGGTAGCCTTCGGTGGGAGTGGTACACAGGAATTACAGGCAGCTCTGGCATCACATCTCCACTCATGATCTGTCCTTGACCCACCCTCCATTTCCTGCTTTTGTGCCATAGGAAGCTGATACCTCATTTCAGAAACGCAAACCTTCCTGAAATTACTTTGAGCAAATCTCTGTAATGATCTTCCTGCCCCATTTCTAACATTATCAGAACTCTTTGTCCATTGGTGAGTGAATAAATAGGATCTACAACAAATCATTGCAGTGCGGAAGGCAGCAGGCAATTGTACCCTTTCCTAGAATACGCCATTTCATTCCCTGGCCAGCCAGCCTGCATTTTTTGTCCATTGTGAGAGCTTCCCTTCTTTGGGTTCCCCATTCATACCACTGAAGACTTTGTGGAATCGTGGGGTTTTCTGAACCTGCTGATATTTATCTTATAAAATGATTTATCTTTTTTCCTGCTCACCTGGGTTCTTAAAGCAATGTACAATTATGTAAAAAAAAGCCAATGCAATCTTTAAATCAGGCCAAAGCAAGTTTAGAAATGAAACAGTACAGTTTTCACTGTCCCCACTGGGTTTGAAACAAGCAGAGGAAGGCAGGCAACTCTTGGAAGGAGTTCCAGAGTCAGGGTGATGCTTTGGAAAAGGCTTTGTCTCATGTACTGACCAACCTACTCTCTCCAAGTGGCAGGACTTACAGCAAGACCACAGATGGCTCCTCCCCTCTTGCGTACATCTTCCATGTGCTCTGTAATTAAATCCTAGAGACTGCGACTGGCTGCTCTGTTCCCATGTGCCTGATTGGTAAATAATGTATCTTTTCTTCTAGAACCACTGGAGTTCAGCTGCCGGGAAGTGTATTCTACCCGCTATGTCACTGAAGGCCCATGCCGCAGCATCAAGCCCATACGAGAGCTGATATGTTCCGGCCAATGCCTCCCATCCCATCTCCTCCCTAATTCGATCGGCAAGGGGAAATGGTGGAGGCAGAATGCTTTGGATTACCGCTGCATCCCTGCCCACAGCCGCTCCCAGCGGGTTCAGGTCACCTGCCCTGGTGAGGACATTCGGACAATCAAGGTCAGGACCATCACGGCTTGCAAATGCAAACGGTACACTCGCTACCACAACCGTTCGCAGCTCAAAGACTTCAGCAAGGAGACTGTCCGGCCTCAGAAAAACAAGAAGCCACGCCTCTCCAGAACAAGGGGCAGTAAGGCCAACCAGCCAGAGCTGGAGAACTCCTACTAGGAGTTGAGGACCGGTGCAGAAGCGTAGAGATGTGTTTTTTGTTGTTGTCCAACCCATCCTCCCTTTTTGATGGTTTCACCAGGATCAAAATGGGACCGAGTGAGAGGGGTGGCCAGGGCAAGTGCCCTGGCCGGAGGTTCAGAGGAGATGCAGCCATACAGCTCTCAGACTCTGAGGCTGTGGGGTGAGAGACGGGGGGGAAAGAGTGAAATCCTGAGAAAAGAGCTACTCCGAGGTTAGGAGGGGTTCTGTGGTTGAGAAGGCTGAAGGGGAGCACAGGCTGTGTGTGCACCGCAGGTTCTTCCAGGCTTGCTTGTCCTTCCTTAGCTTGACAAAGAACAGGCATCTCCTGCTCTCGCTCTCTTGCTGTTAATACAATGACGCATCCAGTTAAAACAATGTGATTACTCTAAGGGTGCATGCTCAGATGCCCCCCTTCATTGCAGTCTTTAATGCTTTGCTTCTTCATGAGTTGCAATTAATGTATTGTCCCGTTTTCTACCACAGCGTTGTGCCTGAGCTATGTGCATGTGCTCTGTAGATTTAGGGTGGGCAACTTGCAGCCCTCAGGATGTTTTTGCACCAAATTTCAACCTGCCCTGGTTAGCAGAGCCAGTGGTGTCAAATCCCAAGAGCTGTAGGCCAAAACATGTAGAGGGCTACAAGTTGCCCACTTCTGCCATACATGGTCCATTTTCATTTCCTTTTCCTGGCAGCCCATTAGACTGCACCCAGCATTGCCTGGGAACTGGGGAACTTTTAACAGTCCTTCCATGTTGCACAGAGCCTAATGATGCACATATACTCATAGATAAGGCCACCTTTGAATGAATTTTGCAGGGCCATGTTGGATCCAGAAATTAAAAAATAGGTCTGAAGAACGTGAAAAGACTTCTGTTAAGAGTAATACAAAGAGATGAATAAAGCAACACCAAGATGGGTGAATAGATGCACACAATGTTATATGCATGCGTGCGCGTGCGTGCGCACACACACACACACACACACACACACACACACACACTGATGAAAGCAGAGGAAGACGCTCTGAGAGACTCTTCCAAAGACCTTTGCTTGCTAATTCAGTCAAGATGTTTGAAGTCTGGCCTGCTCCTGTTATTTCAGGGGTGAAAAATACTTTGCAGCCTCTGGCTAAAATATATTTTGTAGCTGCTGGATATCCCAACTTCTTTCTTTCTTTTTAGGAAAACAAGTGACTAGTCCTTGGTTTTTCGTCTTGGAAGTGGTGGGGAAAAGGGGGCCCAAACTGATTTTTTCCAGGCAAGGCTCTGCAAGAAAACAGCTCACTAAGCACAAAGGAAATGTACAAGTTGCATTGAAGCCTACTGCATGGGGTTCCATAAGCACAGCGGTTGTTGCCAAGTGGTTCAGCACAGTTTCCACCCTGGCAGTCTGAATTATTTTTGTTTTAATTCTAGGATGCTGTTGATCTGGTGCTCCTCAGTATGATATGGCTCATCCATTTTTGTATTTCATCTCTGTTTCTAGCCTTTTGCCTGGATCAGAAGTATGTTTTTCAGTCCCCATCATTCGTAAATGCTTGTTTTTAAAGATATTCTCTGCAATCATAAGGTCTGTCAATATTTTTAAATGCAGTAAACTGTAACTGCAACAGTAAGAATTAATAAAATATTGGAAGAATTTCCATTGCACTTGCAGTGCCACAGAGTGCCCTTGCCCAATTGTTTGTCCTTCTAAAATCTTTGTGCAGGGGATACATTGATATTCCCGCTTAGCATGTGGAGGCTTATAGGGCAAGCAAAGTATGTTTACCTATGAGAAAGCTTTACTATGTTCAATGGAGCTTATACTGAGTTGAACACAGACTTAATCATCGTTAGAGCAGACCCACTGAAATCAATGGCACTTAGGTTTAATTGCAACTAATGAAAATCCCATCAGTTTCAGCAGGTTTGCTTTAAGTATGGCAAAGTCTGTACTTAGGTTTGCAACCTTAGGGACTGCAACTTGCCCAAAGGTACCCAGTAGTTTTATGGCTATGGTTGGAGTTGAATCTCCTCCTCCAACAAAGAGGTGCACTATCCCAGCCTTTCTCTACATGATGCTCTCAAAATGCTTAGATTGCAAGTGCCATTAGCCCCAGCCAGGATGGCCAGTGGTTGGCATGATAGGGGTTGTTATCTGGAGCTCACGCCATTTCAGAAAGTTTTCACTAGGGATTGGCTTCTGAGTGCCCTGGGACTCACACAGTGCTTGGAGTACCTGCAAATTCTGCAGATGAGTTGAAGTGAACTGAATATGGAATGTTCCATTCCACACTTCCTGAAACGAGCAATGCCAAACTTCAAACCTCCTTGGATGTCATGCTTTCTATCAGGGGTGTCCAAACTTTATCCTGCAAGTCCAAGATCCCAATGCAGTCTTTGCAGGTTCCTGAGATGGCCTAGGACTGTCAATTATTTGGTAAATTTTCAGCCTTCACACAAGTTTTTGCCATTCTAAATCTCTCTCCTATGGCTTAGTTACTGGCAGTAGAGGCTTTAAACTAAAATCTGCTGGTATTTTGGCCCTCTGTACTTCTGGAATACAGGCCCTGGGAGCTTCTCCAGAATTGAACGTGGTCCTTGGGCAGAAAGAGGTTCAACACCCATGTCCTATAGACTGCACACCCTTTCCTCTAATTCTAGATGTGTTGCCACAGTCCATCAAGAGAAATTTGCACTCTGTCCAAGTCTGGGTAAGGGGTGTGCAAGCCATGGTCCTCCTGATATTGTTGAACTCCAATTCCCATTAGAGCCAGCCAGCATGGCCAGGGGAGATGGCAGCTGTAGAAGAAAATGATATAGGGTTATATCAGGGTGGAAAGAAAGTAGATCTCCAGATATTCTGGACGTCAAATCACAGCATCGCTGATCATTGGCCATACTGCCCAACTTGTAGGAGTTCAAGTCCAAGTCATCTGGATATCTACCTTCAGCCCACCCCTGCCTTGTATATCACCTAAGCCAACCCTGGCCCTGTTATGCCTTGCCTTACACACGGCATCCATCTTGTACTCAGTCTGACAAAGCTTGGGCAAAGACACACTTTAGGCCGATTGTTTCCTCCTGTTTTGAGTTCTTTTACAGAAAACTCAATCCTGCTTTAAAAGTATTTTGAAAGGTGCAGGGCCTCCCCATCTGGGAAGATATGCCCTCCTTCCTCATGGCACTGTCCTCCCCAGAGATGGTGAAAATACTTTGCCAATGCACTTTTCACAAATTGTTTGTCTGCCTTTTAAAAAGGATGCCTCTTGTTCTGAGGCTAAAGCCTGCCATTGAAAATGAAGTCTGGGGCTAAGCCATGGGGAAATAGAATGCTTTCAGAAACAGAGAGAGTTGGACACTAATTATTCCCATTGACTATTTTGGTTAGGGTTGACTGGGATGGTCCAACACCTGGTTGAGGAAGGCTGGAGAGCGTAAAGTGGGGGTGCAGACCCTCCATTCCTCCCAGTTGAAAAACAGCCTCCCTCACCACCGCCCAGTGGCAATGCTGGCTGGGGATGATCAGAGCCAGAATACAATAGCATCTGGAGTCCATCCCTGGTATAGAGAAAGACACCTTGTTTTCAAATTCCTTTATGTTGTCTCTGTGTTCTTGTGTCTATGCTGGGATCAGAAAGCCATGCTAGCCTGTGGGTTGCCTCTATACCATCATTGGTTCATCTTATAAGATGTATGGCCTTTTCTTTGACTTCAGTGGATTTTGTTTCAGTCGGTGGATTTGTTAATGCAAAATACTGTCATTTCTTTCTGAAATATAAGTGACATATTTATTTCCTTGTAAAAAGTATTTATGCAACTTGTTTCTTCCTCTTTGTTTTTCATAATGTAATAAACTGGGCAGTCCTGCTCCTGTGATATTAACCCTAATGTTTCAAAGCTATACAGATTATATTCCTGAAGGTATTAAATTAATAAAGCTGTGTCCATGAAAGAGAGTATGATTGTTCATTTATTTACTTAAAGCATTTCCATGTCATTCCTCAGAAGAAAGGCATCTGGGGAGCCTACACTGAATAAAACAAGGCAGCCCCTTTTGCAATCTAAAAGGACTCAACACACAAGGAAAAAGGAATGGGAAGGGAAGAGAGGTAAAAATCAAGTCTTTCAACATGGCTGGTGGAATAGCCTTCTCTTTCCTCTTCATCCTTCTCAGTGCAGCCTGCTGAAATGCTTTTATATTTTTATTTTAGCAAATATAATACAAGATCAAAAGGTTGGAATGAACTAGCCGATCATCCAATGATAACTGCAGGCCTTCAAGGTAGGATCTACTTCAAGTCTTTCATGAGCCAGATCACCATGTGCCAGCAGTGTGGGTGGGGTTAGGACCAAAACTTATCCAGGTGGTCCATGTGTGCACTCTAAGCAAGTGAGCGAAACCCCAGGGAAGGCAAAATGAAAGCATGAATAAATAAATAAATAAATAAAAACACACATTGGCTTGAGGCCACAATGACTTGTTTAATCCTCAATGCATGCCAGCCACCATTTACCTAATTCACACCTGGGCACAGCTTGTTATGTTGTTTGGATCTAGGCAGCATGGGTTGTTTGAGAGGGAAACACTATCAAATAACTCATATAAATGGCCATTGGGACAGTCCTCTATTTCCAGGATGTGGAATATGCAGTCTTTCAGATCAGGGTTGCCTGCAGGTACATAAAAGATTTGGGACCTAGACCCATAGGCCAAAAATCAGCATATGCATTGTCTGTGTATGTGTGTGTAGATATGGATATATACAGATTTAGGAAAGCTTGAGGATCTATTTACATTTCACAAGAGGCAACACCAATTAATTTATCATTCAAATCATGTCAAGTAAAATAAATGCTTGAGTTCATTTTCCTTCTCCACCCAGATCGTCCCAAACTGGTTGGATTATTTCTCTAAACTAAACTCCAGTGCAGGCAAAGGTGCATGTGTGTGTGTGTGTGTGGGGGGGGTGCGGAGGACACATGCGCTGTGCAGGTAGTGGTGCAGCTAGGCTAGGGCCCTGGGGCCTAAGTCTCCCAGAGGTGTATCAGGGAAGCGGACGCAAACTCCATGTTGCTCTTGCAGTCATGATGGTGCTATGATTTAACTGAGCTTAAAATGCAAAATGGCATTTAGAGTATGTTGGCAAACATTCTACCACAGGAGGAATGCTGAAGCGGCAGAAAAGAAGTGTGAGGATGGGCACTTATGGAAGAAGAGAACTGCTGGTCATGCACTGAAGTTATTCACAAGGCCATGTGAAGCTAAGCATGTAGAGAATTTCTGGGCTTCTTGTAGGTTCTGGGGTGGTTCCTGGGTCTGAATGGTGTGGGGCCTTGCTGGGTTTGGATGACCCAGGAAGCTGCAAAGCTCCGTGCCATGACGGTTATTAAGGTAATCTGTGCAGCGTGCAACTGGCATCTGGGGGGCAGGAAAAAGAAGCCACCATGGGGGCCAAATTTCATTCTGGAGTTGCTCAGGCCAAAAGAGGCAGGACAAAGATAAAAGGAACAGAACCCAAAACTGAAACATACTAGGCTGCAATCCTATATAAATTTCCCTGGAGGCAAGTCCCACTGCAATTCCTGGGGCTGTCTGTCTACAGCGCAGGCATGAAGAAAATTAATTGGTTAATCCCCAAATAAATTAATAGTGCCTAAATTATCTCACTGATTTTAATGGGGCTTAAGTTCAACTAGGCCTGGATCCAACCCTTTATATCCATTATGTTTGCCAAAGATGCACCACATACTTCCTAGTGGTAATAGTGCATAATGAGATGGCTCTGAGAATAAAAAAATCCTTGTTTTTACATTTCAGGTGACTAGATTTCCATGGTAAAACTATGCCTGCTTTTTGCCTCAGCCAGTCGACCACAATAGCAGGAACAGTAATACTGACCTATTTTGCAGGGTTGTTGTACACATCACAAGATAATGTGATGATGCACCAGGAACTTTCCATGGTTTCAGTCCTTTGCACACTTGCTTGGAATTAACCCACTCAGTACAATGACATTTTTTAAAAAGTTGTTGCTTATTACAATGCAGCCCTGGGAGTCTGGGAGCTGGGAATTATATAAATAAATAACTAGTGCCAAAGAACAGGTCTGTGCTTTCTGGTAGATCTCATGACAAAACAGCAGTGAGACCTAGGCATTAGGTCTATTGAGCCAGGAGACCTGGCCTTTGTATACCATGTGTAGCCCTCCTCTGTTTCTCAGAGAGTAGACCGGTTGTCCATTAAAGCCAAGCAATGACCTTCTCTAGGGTACTGCTGGTGTTCAGGTGACAGCTTCCCACCTGGGTGAAATGCTCTATTTTTTCTCAGACTTGCTTCACCCCTCCAGTTCCTGATTAACTGCCCAGTTGCCATGGCCCACTTCATCCCAACACTGCTTTGCATGCTGCCAAACCTGCAACACCCAGGATAACAACAACAGCAGACTTCACTGCAGGGCTATCATCCATCAGAGTTGGTGTTAGAAGGTGGCTCTTTCCTTTGCAGCCCCAAATCTCTGGGAGACCACCTGCCTCATCACCTTGCTGTCCACGAGCAGTACGGCACTAAAACAGTGGTTCCCAACCTTTTCCCACATCCCCAGAAAATGTTTGATTTATGTTTTCATCTCCTACAAAAGTAGTATCACATTTGAAGATGAAAGTCAAATTTCTAATTTTGAAGCACAAATTGAACTACATACAGTACTGTGGGTGAACAAACTGAACTAAAAAAAAGCGTTTAACTCAGTGCCTAAAATTCAAATATAAACTGAGTAATTAGAACAAATCGTAAACAGTAAAATTAATCCAAATTATGAACATAAAATTCAATGACTTCTTTGTTCCTGCTTCTCATTCACAATTTTCCCAAAAGGTGGCACTTTCTTGCTGATTGTGATCTGCAAGTTTGCCTGTGGATTCAGGTGATTCCTAGATTTTGTCTTGATTGACAGAAGAGAATTAAATCCAAATGCAAACAAAATAATATATGATTTTACTACTGGGATAATTTTTGGCAAAAAACGTGATTTTTGGTGCATCACAAGGCAGCCTTCCTCTTTGTTGCACCCCCTGAAATGCCATCTTGCGCTTCCTGGGGGTGCAGGCACCCCAGGTCGGGAACCCCTGCACTAAAGGGGCAGGAGCGCTGATGACCTCTGCTACACAACCAGCTGGCTGAGCTGACTTTTTGCCCACATGCCCTTCACCTCCTGCTGCTCCCCACAATCTTTATGCCTGAGTGCTTTTTCCCCTGAAATCAAATCACCTCCTCTTTCCTGTACTCAAATTCCATTTTACAATTATGGGTGACCTTAGGAGACAGGAGACAGGATCCATTAAAAAGGCACACATGGAGTTAGAGCGTATGTAAGTTAGCATTTTGCACACTTGTTTTATCCTGTGGGCCCCTGCTCCAGATCTTCTTGGTAAGCAGCACTGCCTACATACACTACTCCAGTCCCTTCCCCACTGCTTCGCTTTCAGCCAAATGAATGCAACAACAGTGGACTACTTTGCAGGGCTGGTTTAACTCACATTCTTTCAGCAACAGCCCCCTTCCCAAGTAGGTATAATTATGATGGACTTCATCAGCATAGAAATTGGCAGGATGAATTTTTAATATTTACAACCTTGAAGGGAGGAGAACTTTAAAAATAATGAACATGTCTGTCTTTCTACCTTTTGATCTTAGGCAGGCACAGACCACCACACAATCAGCAACACCAAAATCCCAGATTTCTGAATTGTTTACTGGGAGCAACTTCTCCTCTGTGGATGTGCTCGTGTTCACTCCAAGTACTGAATTTAGATTTCACATGCACACTTTGATAACCCAGCCATTTCCTTTAAAAGGCATTGGCAAGCAGTGTGGTGCTCAATGTGTTGGGCTCAGACCCCACCTCTGTCTTGTGTTCAGTCTTTGGGGAAGGTAACGTCGTGCCATGTGCCCATGGCAGCCATTTTGTGGTGGGCTCCAGGACAGTTCCTCAACTTACCAAATGTGCTCTTTGGCCCAGAAAGCTTGGCTACTCTGGCAGAAATTTGCATCTGGCTTCCTGGCAGCGTTCCCCACAGAGGTCCACAGTGGGATTTTTCTAGGCCATGGAGAAATACAGAGGTAGGCTTTGGCGTAGGGTGACGGCACTTGCCAGTGCATTCAGCAGGTGCCTGCGGGCAGCACTCAGGGGAATGGCCACCGCAGCACATGGCAGGAAGTGACAGACCATCGTCCACAAACATGTGGTTAGTAGTGCAGCCACACAGTACATTGGTCGGCTGCTACCACACTGCAAACGAGCACTTGAAACTGGCCTCAGCGGTCAGGGAGGGCCTGCTCACAGCCTTCTTGCTCTCCTCCTGCCCGGTGTGGGCATGGACAACCGGCTCCAAGCAGCAGCCATTGGCCAAGTCCTGCTGGGAGGCCAAGGGGCCTACACATTTTTGAGGACCACCAGGCGAGGCTCTGAGGGCTCCTTCCCTCAGTGTGATTGCCCATTCACCACTGAGTTTGCTTACTGCTGTTTCTTCTCGTTCTCCTTCCCATCGTTGGCTGCACTTGCTAGCTTGGCAGAATCTGAGAGGGAGCAGGCCACGGCTTCTGCTGCTGCTGCTGCTTCCGCCCAGGGCCAGAGGGAGAGGCAGGTGGACAAGCGGGTGGCAAGTGGGGCGAGAGGAGCCATTTCCAGCGGGCTCTTCTCAGTAGTACGCGGGCCCCCACCAGGTGCCCGTCCCTGCCCACCTTGGTCCCTGCCTAGGAGGAGACAGGAGCGAATCGGAGGATGCCCCTTCCTCTGCCCAGGCTCTCTGGTGCAAGCTGAGGCCACAGGCAGCGCTTCTCGCCCTCTCTCTCGAGGCATTTTCCGGCTGAATCAGTCCCTCGGTGTCCTTTCTGACCTTCTCCCGACAAGCAGGGGCCGATCGGTTTTGTTTACACGGTGGCTTATCGAGCCCCC